CCGAACGTCTCCTTGCTACCGCGACCTCGCCCACAGGAAGCCGCGACCGCGTGGCAGCAGGGAAAATGGCTGCGGATCCGGTTCGTAAGTCGAGGCGAGGTCGTAACCCGAAATGTTCTTTAGTAGAGGCGTTCGTATCCCGAGGTACCACTGTATATGGAGAGCTGCCCTGATTGCCAGTTTGTTTCCAGGTGTCATTCAAAGTGCTGTTTGTCACCGTCAAAGCAACTTTGTGGCTCAGGACCTGGGTATCTACAGGACTGTCTTCTTTTAGGTCTCTGTTGAGATCTGAAAGAGAAGGCTCCCTCTGGGTCCTGTCCTTTAGAAAATATCTGTTTGCAGGGATTCTGTGGCCAGGTCTTAACAACTGCTGCCCCTCTTCTTTTGAAAAGCATATCAGGCGGGCCCCAATCATGTTAACTTTCCACAGAGCCTGTTTCAGCAGGCCTTTGGGGACTAAGGGGGTAATTTTAATCTCTCTTGGTGAGGGTGGAGTTATGATTGCTCCTCAGCTCAAGGGGTGTTTTTTATTACATGTTATTTTATTATATTGCTAGGATATCCCCTAACTTGTATGCATTATTTTCTAATTTTTGCACGCTATTACTAAATAGTTTTCCTAATATAGGCACCTTTGCATGGATTTTTTTTTTCTTGGAGGATCATGTTATAAAATCTGAAGAACTGCAAAAACTAAAGGATAATTGTTCATCACTTTGCAGGTTAGTTCAGCACGTGTAAATCAGGTTAGTTTATATTGGAAACAATTTTTGCCCCCTTCCCTCCTAGTCCAGCAAAAATTTTAAAAATGGTAGCACAGAATAAACAGTAGCCAGATCCTAAATGTGTAGAAGGAAAATCATACCCTTTACCATCATGGCTTTCCAGATTTGTGGAATACTCACAGCTGCTAATGTCCCAGGATAGGTGGGTGCATCCAAAAGAATGTTATCTCCAGGATTAATAAGCATTTCAAACACCTAGAAAAAATATAAAGGACAGTAATTTTTTCTGCTGTAGACAAATATGATCTTTGATGGTAACAACAGTAAAGAGAGTTGCTTTTTTAAAACTTACAAAAAGTGAAAAAACATATTTGGTGTACAGTAATATAAAGCACAGAAGAGAAGGTGAAGCAGAAAGAAGAGAACTTGTCATAATACATTTAAAAAGCAAAGCCAATTATGCACATAGCAAACTTAAAGTACTTTAAAAATTGTTACATTACAGTCCATTTTGCTTCTCTAAGAATGTAAGCATCAAGACTTAACATCTGGCAAGTGGCTTCATAGTTATTCTATACAACTGCTTACTTCATATGTTTTAAAAATTGTTTTATGGGATTACATGTAATAAATGTTTGTCTAAATAAAAAGAACAAGCAACACGAAGAGCCTCTGTGAGCTTCTGCACAAGCTCCAGTGGAAAGGCACATCTCTCTAAGGGAAGATCTCTATGAAATAAGTAGAAGCTACAATGGCTTTACCAAAAAAGGTCTCCCTTCCTACTATTGTATTCTTTAGCATGTGAGCTGAGAAGGCAGGGATTAAACAGAGAGATGTCTATAGTGTTTATAGTAAATAATAGTGATACTTGTAATAGGGAGAAGAAAACAGGGCAACTTGGAACTAAAGACTAGCTATCTGCAAGGGTAAGACATTTGATGCTCCCCAGATGTTCAGGATTAGACTTGCATAATCCCTACAAGTCCAACATATCTGGAAGACATAAGGCCACTGTAGCTTTTTAAAGATACACATATCTTTAAATATAAAATGTTCACTGTATATTATAGTTCTTTTTTCTTACTTTACATAGCCCTTCTTGGCTCCCAGTAGTGATGCACATCTCCATTTGTCCTTCCTGAGGACTATAGTCAACTGTTGGAGGGTTATGGAAACTCTTCTGCAATTCTTTCAACCAGGACAACAGCTCTGGAATGCTAAATGTGATTACATCAGTAAGCTGTATCATGTATTTCTTCGTAAGATTTTCATTCTTCTGCATTTCTTAGACAAAACTGATCTACCTTTTAGTTCTTTTATTATGCAGTCACTAATCTGTGCAAATATCTTCCTTTAGATCTTGGTTAAAGCACTCTGACCTTTACTGCTTTAGCTGCTTTAAAGTAAAATACAGTTTAGACTTAATCTTATAGTTGTCATTTCCATTACCTTCATTACCCCTATTTCAGGGATAGGTAAACAAGAAATGTGAAGGTTAAAAACAATCCAAGCCGCAGCTCTTAATTTCCAAATGTTATTTTGAAGAGTTAAGTCTTTGTCGCGCTATGAAAAAATAGTCCTGGGGCACTGTGGATTTCAGGAGAAGAATGTTCTATTGGGGCAGGACAACATTCAGAAAGGCTTGCTTTTGGAGTCAACCTCCCTGATCTGTTGAGGAGGAAGAATCCAGAACACCTCCTTCTGGATTGCTCAACTAGGATGGGTAGACTGCCTCTGGAGGAGATGGCCCCATATATACCCTGAACCTAAGTAACCCGTGTAACTAATGCAGCTTCTGTAAAATTGGTGTAGCTCTGCTATAGTGATTCTCACCTGCTACCATATGGGCCATTGCATTTGAGGAAGTCCTCAAGAGGAAATTCAAATAGAGTATGTTGCAATAGTCCAAGTTTGAAGTAATAAGGGAATGAATGACTGTCACTAAGGCCACCCACTCTAAAAAGGTCTGTAACTGGTGTACTAGCTGAAGCTGGGCAAATGCCCCATAACTATAGTTTCCACTTTGGTTTAGAAGGACCCCAAGTTGCAGACCTGCTCCTTCAGGGAGAATACAGTTTTGTCAAGAAGGGACCACGAGAGAATCTGCTGCTTTCTGGACACCCAAAATATTCATTCGTGCCCTATTTCCTTATTTCATTTACAAGTAGTCCCCAGTTTAAGAACGAGTTCTGTTCCCAAGGTCTGTCCTTAAGTCGAATTTGTATGTAAGCCGGAACA